CTTTACACACCTTAATGGGTGAATGTAAAAAATGTGTCAACAGTTAAGTGTCCTCTTGCACACATTAACACAGATACTACATAGGAACATTAAGTACTATATGTCTTTTGGGGAACTTAGAATGTTGTATAATAAGCTTTGTATATCCTGTATGTTTAATTCTTTATTAGCCTATTAATATTATACATACTAAATAATACCTTGATTTTATTGTATCATTTATACCACAGTAGAGTGTATTCTTAATTAATTTTTAAATTATTACAATTTATTCACTTTCTATCCCAGCTGTAGCCCCCTTCCTCATCCCCTCCTAACCCCTTCCCTCCCCCTCCCTCTTTTCCACCAATTCCCTTCCCCCAGTCCACTAATAGGGGAGGTCCCTCTCCCCTTCCATCTGACCCTAGCCCATCAGGTCTCATCAGAACTGTCTGCATTGTTAGTAAAACATATTTTTATTATTGATTAACTTGTACTAAAAATGTACTGGGTACTTTCCAACATCTATTTGTGTGAACTCCTTTGGGGCAACTCCAAGAAGGCTAAAAATCCAAAGAGTTCCTGGTACTTACAATAGCCTTATAATAAAATGCTTTTTTTTTTTTACTCAGAATGGCTAATTTCTACTGTGTGTAATTACAGTAACAACAAACTGACTGACGACAGTCACATCTGTATGTTACTGTGGTAGTTTGATAGGAATGGCCCTCATAGACTCCTTGGCCCATAGGGAATGGCACTATTTGGAGGCATGTCCTTGTTGGGGTAGGTGTGGCCTTGCTAGAAGAAGTGTGTCACTGTGGAAGTGGGCTTTGGGATGTCGTATGCTCAAGCTAGGTCTAGGGTAGCAGTCCCCTTTTGCTGCCTCATGATCAAGATGTAGAACCCTCAGCTCCTCCAGCTGCCTACATGGCACCGTGCCTCCCATCATGATGATGATGGACTAAACCTCTGAAACTATAAGCCAGCCCCAATTAAATGTTTTCATTTATAAGAGCGGCCAGTCATGGTGCCTCTTTACAACAATAAAATCCTAACTAAGACACTCACTGTGTGCTAGTGATTTTACATGGATTAATGCATTTGGTTCATAAATAGGTAAATGATTTATTGCCACTTCAAATGTGGGGCTAAGATACAGACATGCCTAATGCTTTGCCTCTCACTGCAGAGTACCGAGTCTGGATCTACGCTCAGACTGATTGTATAAACTGATGTGTCTAACTGTTGCCAATTATATGTTCATTCAATCATTTTGCATTAATTTAAGACCCTAGTTCTGTTTTCTCACTGATTCATATACTGAGCTCAACAATATTTAATAAGGCCTTTGAAGCTAAAGCTAGGATTTCACATTTTGCTGCTTTCTTAACGTCAAACTTAAGTTGTGTTTCAGGGTCGAGCTAGAAAATACCAATTTCCTGAAAAGGACAGAGATCTAAAAGGCAGAACTGGAAACTAGTTTGACTAACGAAGGTCACAGGGAAACACTGTTGTTTGGAGAACCTGGAGTAAGTTCTGCCTCCAAGGCCAGATGTGATGAGAAGTGAGTGGCTGTATGATGTCAGGGACTTTCTCCTCCGAGGGTGTGGAGAACATTAGCGACAGCCAAGAGAGAGTGCCTTCCTCTCACACTCTCCTCTGTCAGTGACAAGTTCTCACAGGGAAGCCCCTTTAAAACTGGTTCTAGTTTCCAGTGTGCATCCCTAGGATCAGAGCGAATAGGTGAGGAACTGCTTTTTTCTGTGCTCCTGATTTCCTTCTTCCCTGAACTTAGTCCAGCCCGAATTTCAATGTCCTTTCCCACAGAAAAAAAAAAAATCTTTTCTTTGTTCTCAAATCATAATGACATTTTACAGTTTTGTCCTTCTTGCCGCCTTCACTGCCATCATCTAGCTAGCTCTGGGAGATAGATATTAAAGAAATACAAAAAGGTAGAACTCTTGGTTCTTTCTGTTCTTAGCTCTCCTGAGAACTCTTTGACATGAAACCTCGAACTGGTGAGAACACACCCACAGCTGTGCTTTATTCCCCTTCTGAGTAACAGGAAGATCCAAGAAACAGTGAAAGAGATGCTGATGAAAAGTGGATATGGAGTTGGGTGGTGCAGGCCTGTGATCCCATCACTCAGGGAGGCAGGGACAAGCAGATCTCTGAGTTTGAGACCATCCTGATCTACAAAGTGAGTCCAGGACAACTGAGCCTACACTGAGAAACTTTCTTGAAAAAACAAACAAACAAAAAGAGATATGGAAAATTTTCATCTCATTAATTCATCAGTTTCCAGTATCTAAGACCCAAGTGGTGTATGACACACTGTCAGTGTGTTGGCCAGGACATATAAAAAACAGCATGGACATCTTCCAACTTTACTCTCTTCATTTGATCCTGTTCAACATTACCTAAATTTCTTTCATTTTCATTAGCACATATATTTGAATATGAGAAACATTCCCTCTTCTAACTTCTTGGGAACATGCTTAAGAAATTTCTAGGTACTGTGCATTCACTTATTCACTGCCTTCACATTCTTGCTCTTTCAGAGGATATGTGTAGCCACATAAACTATCCATAATTAAATTATGGGCCTTGGAAATATAAGATTGCTTGCTCCACAGTTGTGAGGACCAAAGTAAGATTCCCCGGAACTCATGGGAAAAGCTGGGTGTAGTCACGCCCACCTGTCAGCCAGCATGGGAGGGTATGGTGGAGACAGGAGGATGCCTGTGGCCTGCCATTTGCCTAGCTTAGAGTTCATTGGGAAATTTAGACTAAAATACATAAGACAGATAGTAGTATAGCTTTTGTGTATGTGAATGAGCATGTATGCACACACACGCACACACACACCCCAGAATTAAAATCAGGTGGCATTTGGGAGCACAGAAAAGCATGGTCATTGCATTTCCTTCAAATGCTCCCTCTTACACTCCTCCCATCTCTCCAAAGCACCACTACTATGTTCACAAAAGGCTCTCTGAAGTAGATGTAGAAGAAAATTTTCTGAAAAATATACACGCATTTAAGGTCAATAGAAAGGGTGAGGGTACAAATTCAAGACATAAACACATCAGAGACTGATAAAGCTTTTGACTAGTAAAACAGTCTCTACTTCATTTCAGGAAAGCCTTTACTTCTGTGCTGCTTAAATCTCACAAATCATCCATTTGTGACAGTAGAAAGCCCTTCTTGAAAAGTTAAAAACAGTCTCTTAAAGAACAATTTGCGCTCCCAAAAGAAATGTTCTGAGTCATAGAAGTCAAAGGCAGACTTCTTGGAGGAGAATGCCTAATGGGAACCATTACACAATTGATAGAAAGAACTGTTTCTGATATTCTCCAGCTAGCAAAACAAGGGTAATAATTAATTGCACAAAAAAAATGAAAATTTTTTGATTTGTTCACTGTCTGCTGTACACATACACTGAAATATCACAGCATAGACCACACACACAGCTATGCATAGTCAATTAGAAACAAGAATGTATGTTTCTAGAAGCTCAGGTCCTAACTGTATACCCAAGATACATGAACTAGGCAAATTGTTTCTGGGGTAAATTACTCACAAAACTACTATAAGTAATTCTAGTGACAAGGGTGACTGTAGATAACACATAGTAATAACTTAACTTTCTAGATAATAACTCATATTTCTATAATATTTTATATTAAGTGGTGATTCTTAAGAGATTTAAAGATTCACCAGCAGATAGCTATATGTAAAAGTCACCACAAATTGGTCATTTTCATGTAATGAGTGGCTGGGGACTTCTTGTAGCAAATGTTCCAAGGGAAAGATTTAGGTCCTGTAGGAAAATTTCCATGAAGGTTTCCAGGCAAAGAAAGGGAGAGTGAGGCCGGTGGAAGTCATATGAAGGAGTTGGACTCTGTGAAACTGGATTGACAGGCTGCTGTGAGCCACCTTGTGTGTGCTCAGTACTGACCCTGCCTCCTCTGTATGAGCAGTAAGCACTCTAAACCACAGAACCATCCCTCCAACTCCTTAGAATACATTTGTCATTGTTGTTTACTTAAATTAGTAAGTAGGTTTGTGGAATGGAAGCTTGGCAACATTCCCTTTTATATAAGATAGTATATATTGAAGTTAAAAAAATGGTTTCATGAAAATTTAAGGAACATAACCAGTGCGTAAATGGATAGTTGTATGGCAATCATATGTATGTACATTTTGTCCTGGCTAGTTATGTCAACTTAACACAAGCTAGAATCATGAGATAAGAAGGAGCCTCACTTGAGAAAATGTCTTCATAAGATCAAGGTATAGGCAAGTCTATAGGGCATTTGTTAATTAGTGACTGATGAGCAAAGCAGTAAACAGCATTCCATTATGCTCTCTGCATCAGATCCTGCCTCCAGATTCCTACCCCATTTGAGTTGCTGTCTGGATATCCTTTGATGATGGACTGTGATGCAGAGTATGTATACTGCAAATAAACCTTTTCCTTCCCAAGTTGCTGTTGGTCATTGTGACTTATCACAAGAATAGTAACTCCAGCCAGAACAGAAATTAGTGCCAAGATAGTGGGGTATTAATGTGGCAGATCTGACCACGCTATTTTCTGGAGGATTATGGAAGGCATTTGGAACTTTGGATGAGAAAAACATGAGTTCTGAGAGCTCAGTAGGCTATTACTTAGGAGCTTGGAAGATAAGAATATTGAAGGTAGTGCCAATCATGGAGTCTTGGCTTGTGAAGTTTCAGAAGGAAGCAAACACTCTACTGGGCCATTTGTGTAAATAATTTGTGCTTCTGGTCATGTAGAGCTGAAGAGTTGGCTGTGATTAACAATAGATCAGAACCACAAAAGTAAACTCTTTGATTTGCTGGTAAATTCTTTGGATGCTGGGGCTGAAGGTGGGGCTGAAGAAACAGCTGATTAGGAGGAGACCAACATCATTTAGGTGGCCATGGTTGTGCCTCAAGCCAGCAGCCAAACTTGGTAACATAAGAGTCACCAGATAGTATTTGCTTTTGAAAGCATGAAGGAGTCACGGAAAGCAGCTGAAGCTTGGCACTGTGAGAAGCTGCAAGAGATTATTGGTGAAGGTGCACCCTCAGTAGCAGGTCAAGACCCAGGATTGAAGGGTCATGCAGAGAAGTTGAGGCTTGGCAGCATGAAGAGGGCCTTTGAGAGGCTATTGGTGAAAATGTAGCCCTGTTGCAGCAGGAGACCCTGGCATTTTGTAGATGCCAGTAACATAATGGCCACCAAGAACAGCAGCAGTGATGGGGTGGACCTTCTAGCTTAGAAGATAAGCTGTGTGTGCTAAAGAAGGTGGACCCAAATAAATGACCCAAGCCCCCTGGAAAGCCCAGAGGATTATAGCTGAATCGCAAATATTAGACATTGAGGTTTTTGTTTTTACAGGATTGTTGGTTTTGCTTTGTTCAGATTGTGACCATGATCTGGTATTTCTCTCTTGAAGTAATCATACAACTGAGATATTTAAACTTTTTTAAAAAAGATTTTGGAGTTTTACAGTCTTTGGATTTTTTTAATACTCAAAACTTAATGAAGTATCATAGTTTCAGTAAATAATTGGTTTGTGCATGGTGTTCTAGAAGAATGCCTAAATTATCAGTAGTAGCCAACCTGTAAAACATGCAAAACCTGTACCCTATGCCACCCCAAACAAGCATCTGTGTATAAAGTAACAGTGTGTTTCTTCCTGTAAATTTTCTCTAATTTAATACACACCTCTTCCCAATTGGCCCACCTTTCCCATCATAGAACGATGGTGTTTTTGAGGTATATCATCATTGCATATTAACCCATACTCTCACCCTACCCACAATTACAACTTTTTCTCTGCTATTGCATTGCAAAGAGCTTCCAAATAGTCAAAGGAGTCCAGGGAGGAAGGGGTGGCAGTGGGGACTGGATTTTTTTTTTAAAGACACAACTTTTAAAGGGTTTGAATTTGTAGGGCTGTGAGACTTCTTTTTTAATTAGTTAGTTAATTTATTATCATTTATTCACTTTGTATCCCCACTGCAGCCTCCTCCCTCGTGTCTTCCCAGTCCACCCTCCCTTCCTCTTCTCCCCCTATACCCTTTCCCTAGTCCACTGATAAGGGAGGTCCTCTTCCCCTTCTATCTGACCCTAGCCTATCAGGTCTCATCAGAGCTGGTTGCATCATCTTCCTCTGTGGCCTGGCAAGGCTGCACCCCCCCCCCCAGGGGGAGGTGATCAAAGAGCAGCCACTGAAGCTATGGGACTTTTTAAGTTTATAAAACATTTTATGCTGTGAGGCCTTTCTTAATTGTTACCTTGAGAACAAGAAAGGAAAGGCTGTGGCCTAACAGTGATGCCTTTGTGAGTCAACTTGACAAGGAGTCAGTTGTGCTGGATAGTTTTATGTCAACTTGACACAACCTAGAGTAGTCTGAGAGGAGGGAGCTTCATTTGAGAAGATGACTCTATAAGATCAGGCTGTAGGTAAGCCTTAGGGGCATTCTCTTAGTGATTGATGCGAAAGGTCCAGCCCATTGTGGTTGGTGTCATCCATGGGCTGGTTGTCTCGAGTTCTATAAGGAAACAGGCTGAGTAAGTCATGGAGAGCAAGCCAGTAAGCACCATCCTTTCATGGCTTCTGCATCAGCTCCTGCCTCCAGTTTATGCCCTGTTTCAGTTCTGGTCTGGGCTTCCTTCAGTGATGCACTATGGTGTGGAAGTATAGGCCAAATAAGCCTTTTCTTCCACAGCTTGCTTTGGTCATGGTGTTTCATCACAGCAATAATAACCCTAAGACACGTTTGTATACTAATAACATGCACCTTTTTTTAGGGAGAGCAGAAAAATAGTTCTAAAGATTGAAAACTCTGGGGTCTGTAGACAAAATGATAAAGGACATGAAGTTGAGCCGGTTACCTGTGAGGAAAGGTCCTCCTGGGGAAAAGAAGATCACCTGGGACAGGAGGTTAAGCATCTCTTTCTGTTCAAGTCATCTTTGAATTTACACATATGAAGATAGGAAGGAACTGCATACTCTAACTCTCTGTGTGTTTTTCAACCTGCACAATTTAGAGGCGAAGCCACACTGAGTTAATACCATACTTCTTTGACAGTGTCTTAATAAAGAAAACAAACCATGAACACACCCTTCTCAAAACTGACTAATGAAGGTAGTGGATGTGATAAACTGGGTTTCAAGGAGATTATAGGTTGCGTGTTTAGGAATAAGGATCATTTGTACTTGCCTGTTCTCCAAAATAATGCAAAGTGCCAATTATGGCCTGACTGGGGATTAGCGGCTTCCTCGTCTTCATTCTGAGAGTCCACTTTGTGTGTTTAAAAACATTAATAAAACATTTCCCACTATTCTTTTTTACTTTATGCCCTTCTCAGAATCCTCTGGTCATGGAATGGGGATGGTTCTCCACCACCAGCCTTCCATCTCGGTTCTCACATGCTTTCTCTGGATGGGGCATGTACTCCTCGTCATTAAAGTCATAATACTCAGAGTTGTAGTGAGGCCAAATCACAAGATGACCCCCGACATTGGCACCCCTTCCTGTACATACTGCTTCTCCAGTTGCTGAAGCAAATAACCTATCTAGATACTGTGAGGGGACTTTACAGATATAATGAAGTCACCAGAAAATGTATTGTTTAAAATGGAAATTATACTTGGAGGCCTAATCAGATAATACATTTTTTTAAAAGACTAGACTTTATTTTGACCTCAGCTCAGCTTCAAGAAATTGAGCTCTGTCTATCACTCCAGTGAACTTGGAAATGAGACACAAATCACAATCTATGAAAGCAGCTCCACCCAGAACCTCGATCAGTCATAAGAGACTACAGTCACTTGTCAGCCCCGAAAACATACATACATATAACATTATACAGACTGAACTTCTTATGCTTGGGAATATATTTCTATATCTACACATATATGCATGCAATAATAATTAATGAAAAAAAGAGGCCAAGAGTTTAAAGGAGAGTAGGGAATGCTCTATGGGAAGGTTTGGAGGGCAGATGGGGAAGGAAAAATGTAATTAAAATATAATCTCAAAAATGAGAATAAACAACCCAAAACACATCATAGTGCTCAAACACACACACGTACATGAGCGGGAGAAGAACTTGAACAGAGGAGCCAGCTGTTCTGCATAAAGCCCTGGGTATTGCTTTGAGCAGCTAATTTTGTGGTAACTAGTTAGTCAGAGACAGAAGTTGGATACACCTGTGTTTTCTGTGCCAGCACAGGCAGAGCTGGTGGGGAAAACAATGTTTAACAAGATGGGGCTTCCATTTACAAACAGGCTGGATTCCAAACAGCTTTACTAAGTGTTGTTTTTGTTTTGTTTTGTTTTGGTTTGTTTTGGTTTGGTTTTTTTGCTAATCTGAGTGATCTTAAGCAGATGACTAACCGAGCCTGTGCAGAATGGGAAGATAATGGGGTGTTTTTTGTCCTCCTGCATTGAATGCTTATATCCATAAAAGTTGGCCTCAGCCAGCCTTTTAAAAATTATTATTAGTAGTATTAGTATTATTATTATTACTACTACGATTTATTCACTTTGTATCCTGGCTGTAGATCCCTCCCTCATCTCCTCCTGGTCTCATTCTCCCTCCCTCTTCTCCACCTATGCCCCTCCCCTAGTCCATCTCCTCCCCTACTATATGAACCTAGCCTATCAGGTCTCATCAGGACTGTCTGTATCCTCTTTCTCTGTGGCCTAATAAGGCCACCTAACCAGGAGGAGGTGATCAAAAGCAGGCAACTCAGTTCATGCCAGAGATTGTCCATGCTCCCTTTAGTAGGGAACCTCCATGGAGACTGAGCTACCCATGGGTTACATCTTAGCAGGAGGTCCAGGTCCTCTCCATGCATGATTCTTGGTTAATTCATCAGTCTCCGCAGGACCCGTGGGCCCAGCAGAAAGACACACATGGTATATACTCACTTATAAGTAGATATTAAAAACAAAATATAGGATAAATATACTAAAATCTATAGTCCTAAAGAAGTTAAACAACAAGGAGGACACTAAGGAAGATGCTTAATCCTCATTCAGAAGGGGAAACAAGATAGAAATCAGAAGTAGGAGAAGATAGGGAACAGAATAGGCACCTACTACATAAGGCCTCTGAAAGACTCTATGCACCAGGGTATTGAAGCAGGAACTGAGACTTTGGGCAGAGTTCAGGGAATCTTATAGAAGAAGGGGGAGATACAAAGACCTGGGGGGGACAGGAGCTCCACAAGGAGACCAACAGGGACTCAGCCAGCCTTAATGTGAGGGGAGGTGCCAATCTTATTACAACTTGACATGTTTGGATGCTCTCCTAGGGAGGCCTGCCCTTTTCTGAAGAAAGAGAAGAGGATAGGGAGTGAGGAATTTGGTGTGTGTGGGGGAGTGACCTGAGGAGAAAGGGGAAACTGAGGTCGGATGTAATATATGAAAAACTAAATTAAATTTAAAAGGAAATGAATAAAAAATGTTGGTCTTAAATGAAATATTTGTTCATGCAGGATTAAGTAGCAGTAGCTTTAGCTTGGCGCTTTGTGGCTTGCATTACCCAAAGCTGTACGGGGACTGTATCTCCCAAGGGTTTTCTAAAGCATATACATTTTGTTTTATTACATGTGTGTCTGTGCGGGTGTGTGAATGTGAGTGTGAGTGCAATTGCTCAAGGAGACCAGAGGTATTGGATCTCTATGGAGCTGGCATTGCAGGTAGTTGTGAGCTGCCCCGCATGGCTGCTGGGCACTGAAGTTTAGTTCTCTGCAAGAGCAGCAAGCACTCTTAACCACACAATGTCACCATCCTCTCCCAAAACACAGCACTTTAAGAGGAAGTTTTCACTCTAGTTTGTTGGTGCCCATTTCCCCCTGGATACTCAGAGCTTCTCCGTGGGCTTTGAAGATGATTGAAATCTGGGAATGATGTAATTGCAAGGCGAAGTTACAGTATATAAATGCAGGTTTATCGGAAACAGCTCTTGTTCATCATGCGGGGGGGAAGCAAAAGAGAGAGGCATGTGCAGACAAAGAAGAGAAGGGGAGGAGAGATACAAAAAGATAGAGTAGAGTGAGAGGAGGGGAGGGGGAACCAAAATGTCTAGACTATGTAGTGAAGGGAAGTCCTGCCCCTGGGCTGGAAAGTTCAGGGTAGAGGGTGGGGTGTGCCAGCCACACTGTTCAGCAGGTGGGGACCGAGTGGGAACCTGGGAGGCTAGGTCCACTTTGGTATGGTCTGAAACCCAACAGAAGATGCAACTCATATGGCACTTTAGCAGCACAGAGGAAAGCTGAACCACCCTCTTCATGTTTGTGCACCTGTGCTAGCGTCTGTAAATACAGATGCTAGCAGAGGTGATGTCTCCACAGTTGTCTTCTTCTATTCGTTCTTTTCAGGGGAAGTGATATATGATGAGGAGATGGATAGATTTGGAACCTTGTACATGTTCTTAAGTGAAACTTTTTTTTCCTTTGGGATATCTCTTGTTTGGGCACACTGATGGGATTCCATGAAGAGGAGAGTGAGTGTCCAGCTGGGGCAGAACAGTTACGTGAAGCTGACCTGAAGCCTGCCCCCCCCCTTCTCTTGGTCAGTGAACTCTTCCAAATGAGTCATAGAGAAATTCCCTCACAAATGAGTAAATATCCTGCACATATGGGTGAATAGACAAACACATAAACTACAAACACATTTAAGAATCCAAAATGTAACTAACTGATAGTCTGCCGCTTGGAATTTATGTTCTAGAAGTCAGAAGACCTTAGTTTAAGAAACCTCCCGTTTCTGTCATGTGATGGAAATCACTTGATATCTCTCAATATGGGTGTCTTCTTTCAGCGTGTAGCTAAATTATACTAAGTCTTCTTTCATTCAGAATTTAGGCACCAAGTCATTTTATTCTGTACGAGACTCCGCATCAGGTTTTTGGCGGCAAAAGATGAGCACTGTGTTACAGTTGACTGTGCAGGGACCACTCATGCAGCCATTAGAGACAATGCAACAAACGCTTCGGTTTATCAAAACTGAATGGCAGAAAAGGCAGCTTTTCATCCAAAACAGTGACAGTTTTGCACCTCGTAGTTTAATGAAATAGGAAACACACATTATTGCATGAAAAGTATCTGTGTCAGTGAATTGAACCAAAACCTATTGAAGGCTTTAGGTAAAAGAAAATTAGAAAAGCAAGTCAGCTGATACCACAAAGAAGCATCAGACAAGGGCAGAAGGCAAACCTGTCAAAAGACTGAGAGTTTGATTTCTCAACAAGTCAATGACATTCAGACTTTAGAGGAAGTATTATTGTTTTTTGACTAAAAGACACATAGAGGCCATAATTACCAAGTACTCTGTATCAACCTGTATAAAACAGGATTGTATACTGGTCTGTAAAATACAACTGTATACTCTATAGGAACAAAAAGGCTGGCCTGGCCATTAGAAGATATTAGAGCATTATTAAGGAGGGCTAAAGATGAGCAGGTGATGTTGGAAATGGTCTCTTCATAGCAGTGATTTGATGAAAGGCCATAATGTATTCATTAACATCATTTGTGTAGGGGTAAAATGAGTGAACACCAACAAAATGTCATTGATAACATTATAAGATAAAGTATTTGTTTAGACTTTTCCAATTTTCCATGTCTAAAATTTCACATTAGTTAAAAAGGTGCATAAAGGAGTATAGAAAAGAGTATATCTGGTTAGTTCGTGAGCCTGGGATAGACTGGGATGACATGAAAGAGCTCTGGAAGGGAGGAATGGGCATTTGAAAGCCTGTGTAGAATGTGGGAACCGCTGCTGGCAGCAGCTGGTTTGGCATCACAGGGCGGCATTAGAAGCAGAAACCAGGGGCAAGAACATAACTCCAAGGTCCACTCTTTCCAACAGCTCCTCACAAGACCACGATGACCTTAACCAATATCAAAAATAATGCCCTCTTGCTGTTAAGGGAAGCATGCAGCAATGTGAATTTATGCCAGCACCACCGGAAAACTTGTAACTACTCCACGTGAGAATAACCTCAGCCTTCCTTTATGCAGAGTGGCAGGATACGGCACCCTCAAGAGAGATCTGAAGTCATGGACGACGGTCGCCCTTCTTGCCGTGCTCTCCCTGGTGATGGTGGCAGTGACCATTGGACTTCTGGCTCACTACTTAGTCTCTGGTAAGGACAGTTGGGAATCTGACTTTCTCACATGGGACAGTGTGATTTGCTTATCTGTAAAGGATACTCATCCTTTAACCTGGGACTGTCTCGACTCTATTTTTTTTTTCCTTTTCTTTTTTTCCCCCACTGTTCTTTATAGTTTGGTGGTTTCTATAGTGATAAGGCTCTCTTCCTTTATCATTTGTCTATCTTCTATATTTCTGTGTGTTTCCTGATGACTATTTTTACTTATAGATAAAGGATTTCCTTAATTTATATCACAGGGCTGGTCTGGGGTGATGAATTCTTTCAGTGCTTGCTTGTTTGAGACAGGCTTTATTTTTTTCACTTTTGAAGGCAGGCTTTGCCTTTGTACCTCATATTTTCCTTTCAGTCCTATCATCTCTCTGCCTCCAAGGTTTACCTTGAGAAATCTACTATAATGGAAATCCTGTATATGCAACTTTTTTAAAATTTTTTATTAATTACACTTTATTCATTTTGTATCACCCCATAAGCCCCCCCCTCCTCCCCTGCCGATCCCACCCTCCCTCCCCTTTCTGCATGCATGCCACTCCCCAAGTCCACTGATAGGGGAGGTTCTTCTCTTCTTTCTGATCTTAGTCTATCAGTTCTTATCAAAAGTGGCTGCATTGTCCTCTACTGTGGCCTGGTAAGGCTGCTCCCCCCTCAGGGGGAAGTGATCAACGAGCAGGCCAATCAGATTATGTCAGAGGCAGTCCCTCTTCCCATTACTATGTAACCCACTTGGACACTGAACTGCCATGGGCTACACCTGTGCAGGGGTTCCAGGTCATCTCCATGAATAGTCCTTGGTTGGAGTATGATTTTCTGGGAAGTTCTCTGTGTTCAAATTATCTTGTTCTGTTGCTCTCCTTGTGGAGTTCCCGTCCCCTCCAGCTCTTACTATTTCCCACTTCTTACATAAAATTCCATTCACTCTGCCCATCAGTTGGCCATCAGGCTCAGCATCTGCTTTGACAGTCTATACTGCAGAAGCTTTCAGAGGCCCTGTGGTAGGTTTCAAGGTTGTTTCCTGTTTTCTTCTGGCTTTCAGAGGCCCTCTGTAGCAGGTTTCGAGGTTGTTTCCTATTTTCTTTTTCTTCTGATGTCCATCCTCTTTGCCTTTCAGGATGGGGATTGAACATTTTAGTTAGGGTCCTCTCTTTTGCTTAGTTCGTTTAGATGTACAGATTTTAGTGGGTTTATTCTATATTGTATGTTTATATGAGTGAGTATATACCATGCGTGTCTTTTTGCTTCTGGGACAACTCACTCAGGATGATCCTTTCCAGGTCCCACCATTTACCTGCAAATTTCATGATTTCCTTATTTTTCATTGCTGAGTAATATTCCATTGTATAGATGTACCACAGTTTCTGCCTCCATTCTTCAGTTGAGGGGCATCTGGGTTGTTTCCAGCTTCTGGCTGTTACAAATAAAGCTGCTAAAAACATGGTTGAGCAAATGTCCTTTTTGTGTACTTGCGCCTCTTTTGGGTATATGCCTAGGAGTGGTATGGCTGGATCTTGAGGAAGCGCTATTTTATTCTGTCATTTTACTACATAGGAAATAGTTATTGTACCACCCGTAAATCCAAGTGCTTTTCTGGGTGCTTATGATACAGCGTACAGTGAGGTATGAAAGTTTCTCACTTGCTGAGGTACAGTATTTCTTAGAATCTACACGTAAAAGCAAAAACAGTCATTGTCATTTGGCTGCAAGCTGTCAAACTAAGCAAGTCTTACCATTCGCTGCACATCAAGATGAAAAACTATAATACATGTGTTATCAAAACTGGTTCTTTTACTTGTGGTCATTTTTCTCTGCCCAGTAGAATTTCCAGGACAAAAAAAAAAATCCCACAAAACTCATATCTAATGAAATAATGAATTTTAAAATCACAGATAAACCATGACTCAATAGTATCACGAACTCTTAGAAAATAATGTTCTTCTAAAACAGTATTTAAAGATTTTGTTTTTGTTGCTTTTAATATATTTATATTAACACAAATAATGCATTTTAAACCCTTGCTATTGCATCTTTCTTTGCTAAGTATAAATCATTTACATTTTTGACAAATCTTTACAATTCACATGATGAGGAGTTTGGGAGGAGATGAGGGAGGGTGAGATTAGGAGGGAATGAGAGGAGGGGCTACAGCTGGGCTACAAAGTGAATAAACTGTAATTAATATAAAAATAAATTTAAAAAATGAGTAGCTCAAGCTGCCTACTTGAATGGTTTTATCTGATATCATCTCTAAGGACTTAATAACAGGTGACACCTGTTTTATGAGATAAAAATGAAATGACTTTCTACCATATTCTGAGTCTCATACTGAAACCCCAATAGTGCTTTATACCGATAACAAAAAGATCCATCTTGATTGCACAAAAGCATCTTTAACTGTTGTTAACAGGCTCTGTCTTTTTTCTCTTCATCCCTGATGGCCAGACAATGAGCTAATTGGCACCTCTGTTACAAACCGTTTTCACTTACAATCTCTGATGACCTTTCTCTTTGTGATTTCCTTCATTGTACTTGGATTTTTTACAAGTAAAAGTATGCAAGAATGCTCACTTACCTCTACTCCTGGATGTTTTACACTTTAGCGAAGCACAAGAAAGCATAGCAAGGAACATCCAAGCTCTAAAGGCTCACAGTAAGATTGAAATCTCCAAACTGACCACCTACTAGTTGACTAACAAACATCAGGATATTTAATGTTATTGTGTCTTACTTCCCTCCTTTATAAAATACTGGTGATGCTAATATCAAGAGTCTGGAATTATGATCAAATGTGACAGAACAGTATTCTGAACATAGTAAAGATTCAACAAATATCAGCTACTCTTATTAAAGTAAAACTATGTTAACTCACCATATTTTTATTAAATTCAATTGAAAAAAAAACTTGGTGATATATTTACAACTTCATTTCAGGCCCAGTAGAGTTAAGTCTTAGATCCTGAAGTCTTTCCACAAATCATGTATTTTCTACTTTTCATTATCATCACAGGCCAGAAAATGGAATATTATCAAGGGACCTTTACAATTTCAGATACTCAAGCCAATCGCAATTCAGGACAAAAGATGAATGAAAAATTGGTAAGTCAGATAAAATGTATCTTATCATAGAATCCTGCAAGTGTTTTGTGGGTCATTTATTTAATTTCCAAAAACATAATTTTCAGCAGCAGCATCTTGTAGCTTTCTACCTCCCCACCTCAGAATGGTTTATCCTATATCCACGGGATCTATAGATTGAGTTGGGGTGAGGGAATGTGCCTGTCTCATAAATGGGGCCTCTGACTCAAATATTTGCTTTAAAGATGAAGGGATATATGCTAAGGTATCTAGCCTGTTGTTTCTCCAATTTATTTGAAAGTTTTCCCTAACCAAAAAGTTTAACTACACTGGAACTAACTGTTGATTACAACATACTTCTTGAAAAACTACATTTCACAGTTTTAAAACTAGCTACCAAAAGATAACAAAGACAATCAATTTTACCTTGTAAATGTGTTACTAAAGGCAAGAAGCCCGGATTTACTATGCAATATTTATAGTCAATGCTAACAATTTTGTTAAAGCTAAAGCCCAGGATACCTTCCGAAAAGAAAATGTCTACTTGGTTTTATAGAGTTTTGTTATGAATGTCTATGAATCCTCACTCAAGAACTGCTTGGATTAACTTGTCTAAAGGAAGCACAGAAAACTGAGACACTTAAAAAGGAATAAATACTGATTATATTTCATGTCTTAGATGAAACTTTTTTTCTTTAAAACATTTTCTTTCTCCAACCCATTGACAATTTTTCCATGTCACCAATATTCCCAATATGCTCAACTACAGCATGCTTGGCAGTGATGGTATAGATCATGCTTCTAACATGTATTCTCAGTTAACATTAAGTGCTGCATTTTTTCTATCTTTAATTTTTATATCCTAACATATAATTTGTGTTTACAGACTGGCATATATTTTGGTTTTTTTTTTAAGATTTATTTATTTGTTATTTATACAGTATTCTGCCTACATGTATGCCAGAGCTCATTATAGATGGTTGTGAGCCACCACGTGGTTTCTGGGAATTGAACTCAGGACATTTGGAAGAACATCCAGTGCTCTCAATCTCTGAGTCATCTTTCCAGCCCTATTTTTGTATTCTTTTATATCCAGAGTATCTTGGGCAATGGCATTTGCAATAAATTCTTGAGGAATCCCAGAATGTGTGTGTGTGTGTGTGTGTGTGTGTGTGTCCCAATATATCCCAATTCTTCTTATCTCAAGTGACTCCATAAACTGCTTTAATACAGACCTGAGTAGTGGTAGCACATACCTATAATTTCAGCACTCAGGAGGCAGAGGCAGATGGATCTCTATGAGTTTGAGGCCAGCCTGGTCTACAGAGCAAGTTCCAGACTAGCCAAGGCTACAAAGAAAAAAAAAATAAAAAAAAAATTCTGACATATATGATATGTGTGTTACTTTAAAAAATAATTTGAATGATAAAAAAATCACATATTCAGAATCTTGAACTTATTTCACTTTGCCTACTTTCAATATTGTTGTTATTGTTCAAATACAAAACAACTAATCAACTCTACCTTTACTGAATTAAAGAAATAGGATTGCGGCTCCCTGGTCGCTCTGTAGCTGAGCAGGCTTGATGGTCTGTGTGCTGTGGTCTGAGTGCGGCTGCTGTGTGCTCTGAGGGGTTTCAGGCGAGTTCCAAAGTCGCAACAAGGTTAAATCTCGCTTTTCTCAGCGCAGACCTAACTGCCTGGGGCCTGCAGCCACTGAGGCTGAGCCCCAAGTCCTTTATCGGCAAAGGCCAGCAGTACTGTGTCTCGGAGCCCCAGATTCACGCGCGGCAGCTGCACCATCCTCCCAGGGCCCGAGTCTGCTAGACGCCATACTAGCTCCGCAGGATCGCGATCACTGACGGTACGGCCCGCCCAATACCACAGTGACAGAGAATACGCTATATACTCACCAAAACCAGACAGAAACGCCATACAAGCTAGACACACCAGGCGCTGGGCCTCCGAAGCTTGGAGAGCAAAGTAAAGAGACCCCAGGACTTCCCAGAAAGCATCTGGACTAGCAACCCAGTCTCCAGTTACAGCGGGACTTTCTAACCTGGCGGCGGAGCAGCACTGAGCTGGCGGGGCACATCAGCCCTCCAGTTTAAGACTAACCAGGGCCAAACCAGAGAACAGAAAGGCTGGTTACCCCGATTCCCACTGACGTGACCACCCTGAAATCTCCAGCTGCAGCAAGACCTCATAACCTGGCAGTGACAGCAGCACAGAACTGGCGGAGCACATCAAAGAAGCAGGGCCAAACCAGAGAGCAGACAGCCCAGATACGCCGATCTCTGCCAAGTGTCCTGCCTGTACAGCTAGTCCTCAGCATACGCTAAGGACACGGGACCTCTCTCAACTTCCTGAAGAATTCTCCAGACTCGAGAGAGAGACAGTACCAGTCTGATCGGCTGAATCCAAAAACAAACAGGGAAGGTCTCAGATAAGCCAATGGCCAGGGGTAGGCGAAAGAACATTTCCAACATAAATCAGGACATCATGACTTCACCAGCAAACCCCAAAATCGATGGATATTCCAATTCATCAGAAGCACAGGAAAATGACCTTAAAGCCATGCTTGCTCAATTATTTGAGGCTCATAAGGAGGAAATGAACAAATCTTTCAAAGAGATGGCCAGTCAATTGGAGGTAAAGAAAGAAGAAATAGACAAAACCCTTAAAGAAACACAGGCAAACATAGCCAAACAAATAGAGGCACAAGTAGAGAAGAAATTAGTGGCATACAAAAAGGAAATGAACAAAGAAATAGAGTCCATCGTAGAGAGACAGGAATCCAAATTCAAACACATAAAAGAAATGGTGCAAGGCATGAAAACAGAATTAGAATCAATAAAGAAAACACAAAGTGAGAAAACTCTTGAGCTGGAGAACTTGGAGAAAAGATCAGGAACCACAAAAGTAAGCATCACCAACAGAATACAAGAGATGGAAGAGAGAATCTCTGGAGCTGAAGACACACTTGCAGAAATTGATACTTCTCTCAAAGAAAAAGTAAAATCAGAAAAATTCCAATCACAAAATATCCAAGAAATCAAGGATGCTATGAAAAGACAAAATCTAAGAATAATAGGAATTGATGAAAAAGAAGACTCCAGGCTCCAAGGTCCAGAAAATATTTTCAAAAAAATCATAGAAGAAAATTTTCCCAACTTAAAGAAAGAGATGTCCATAAATATACAAGAGGCCTACAGAACACCAAATAGACTAGACCAGAAAAGAAACACATCACGTCACATCATAGTCAAAACACTAAATCTACAGAACAAAGAAAAGATATTAAAAGCAGCAAGGGAAAAAGGCCAAGTAACATATGAAGGTAGACCTATCAGAATCACACCAGACTTCTCATCAGAAACTATGAAAGCCAGAAGGGCCTGGGCAAGCATCATGGAGACTCTAAGAGATCACAAATGTCAACCCAGACTACTATACCCTGCAAAGCTTTCAATCAACATAGATGGAGAAAACAAAATATTCCATGACAAAACTAAATTTACGCAATATCTATACAGCAAACCAACCCTACAGAAGATACTAGAAGGAAAACTCCAATCCAACGAAAACGAATTCACCCAAGAAAACAGGGCATACAGATAATGTCCCAACAAAAATGAAAAGAAAACAAGCAATGAAACAAGGTAAGATCATCGACTCCATTACACAAGGAACTAACATGCATTGGTCAATATTATCTATCAATATTAATGGACTCAACTCACCAATAAAAAGACACAGGCTAACAGAATGGTTACGGAAACAGGACCCAACATTCTGTTGCATCCAAGAAACACACCTATGCAACAAAGATAAACACTACCTCAGAGTAAAGGGCTGGAAAAATGTTTTTCAAGCAAATGGTTCCAGAAAACAAGCTGGAGTAGCCATCCTAATATCTAATAAAATAGACTTTCAACCCAAGTTAATCAAAAAAGATAAGGAGGGCCACTATATTCTCATCAAAGGAAAAATCCAACAAGAGGACATCACAATTTTGAATATCTATGCCCCAAATACAAGAGCACCTACATTCGTAAATGAAACAATATTAAAGCTTAAATCATACATTGATCCTAATACCTTAATAGTGGGAGACTTCAACACCCCACTCTCATCAAGGGACAGATCAACCAGACAGACACCAAATAGGGAAATGAAAGCATTCACAGAATCCCTAAATCAAATGGACCTAATAGACGTCTACAGATCTTTTCACCCAAACTCAAAAGAGTACACCTTCTTTTCAGCACCGCATGGAACCTTCTCCAAAATAGACCATATAGTTGGTCACAAAGCAAGCCTCAACAGATACAAAAGGATTGAAATAATCCCTTGTATACTATCTGACCACCATGGACTAAAGCTGGACATCAACAACAACAGAAACAACAAAAAGCCGACACGCACATGGAAACTGAACAACTTACTACTCAATGACAGCTGGGTCAAGGAAGAAATAAAGAAAGAAATTAAAGACTTTCTAGAATTCAATGAAAATGAAGGCACAACAAACCCAAATTTATGGGACACATTGAAAGCAGTGCTCAGAGGAAAATTTATAGCACTAAGTGCCTACAAGAAGAAATCTGTAACATCACATACAAACAACTTAATGGCCCAACTGAAAAACCTAGAAAAAAAAGAAGCAGATACACCGAAGAGGAGCAGAAGGCTGGAAATAATCAAAGTAAGGGCAGAAATCAATCAATTAGAAACAAATAAAATTATCCAAAGAATCAATGAAACAAAAAGCTGGTTCTTTGAGAAAATCAACAAGATAGACAAACCCTTAGCCAAACTAACTAAAAAGCAGAGAGAAACCATACAAATCAGCAAAATCAGAAAGGAAAATGGGGACATAACTACAGACACTGAGGAAATCCAAACGATTATTAGGTCATACTACAAAAGCCTATATGGCACAAAATTTGAAAATCTAAATGAAATGGATAACTTTCTTGACAGATTCCATCTACCAAAATTAAGTCAAGATCAGGTAGAAAGACTGAATAGTCCTATATCTCCCAAGGAAATAGAAGCAGTCATTAACAGTCTCCCCTCCAAAAAAAGCCCTGGACCAGATGGCTTCAGCGCAGAATTCTACAAGACCTTCAAAGAAGTACTAACACCAATTCTCCACAAACTATTCCATAAAATAGAAACAGAAGGAACACTACCAAACTCATTCTATGAAGCCACAGTCACTTTGATACCTAAACCACACAAAGATCCAACAAAAAAAGAGAACTTCAGACCTATCTCTCTTATGAACATTGATGCAAAAATACTCAATAAAATACTTGCAAACCGAATCCAAGAACACATCAAAGATATCATCCACCATGACCAAGTAGGCTTCATCCCAGGAATGCAAGGGTGGTTCAACATACGGAAATCCATCAATGTAATCCACCACATAAACAAAATGAAGGAGAAAAACCACATGATCATCTCCTTAGATGCTGAAAAAGCATTTGACAAAGTCCAGCACCCATTTATGTTTAAAGTCTTGGAGAGATCAGGGATACAAGGCACATACCTAAAGATAGTAAAGGCAATATACAGCAAGCCTATAGCCAACATCAAACTCAATGGAGAGAAACTTAAATCAATCCCACTGAAATCAGGGACAAGACAAGGCTGCCCACTCTCTCCATATCTCTTTAACATTGTACTTGAAGTCCTAGCCAGAGCAATAAGACAACTAAAGGAGATCAAGGGGATACAAATCGGAAAGGAAGAGGTCAAAGTGTCACTATTTGCAGATGATATGATAGTATACATGAGCGACCCCAAAGATTCAACCAGAGAACTTCTTCAGCTGATAAACACCTTCAGCAAAGTGGCAGGATACAAAATCAACTCAAAAAAATCAGAGGCCCTCTTGTATACCAAAGACAAAAAGGCTGAGAAAGAAATTAGGGAAACAACACCCTTCACAATAGCCACTAACAACATAAAGTACCTTGGTGTGACTCTAACCAAGCAAGTGAAAGACCTATTTGAGAAAAACTTCAAGTCTTTGAAGAAAGAAATTGAAGAAGATCTCAGAAGATGGAAAGATCTCCCGTGCTCATGGATTGGTAGGATTAACATTGTGAAAATGGCCATCCTGCCAAAAGCAATCTACAGATTCAATGCAATTCCCATCAAAATACCAACTCAATTCTTTACAGACCTTGAAAAAAAGATTCTCAGCTTCATATGGAGAAACAAAAAACCCAGAATCTCCAAAACGATCCTGTACAACAACAGATCATCTGGAGGTATCTCCATTCCCGATCTCAAGCTGTACTACAGGGCAACAGTAATAAAAACTGCATGGTATTGGCATAGAAACAGAAAGGAGGATCAATGGAATCGCATAGAAGACCCAGAAATAAACCCACACACCTATGAATTCTCAATATTTGACAAAGAAGCCAAATCCATTCAATGGAAAAAAGACAGCATCTTCAACAAATGGTGCTGGACCAACTGGATGTCTACATGCAGAAAAATGAAAATAGATCCATATCTATCACCCTGCACAAAACTAAAGTCCAAGTGGATCAAGGACCTCAACATAAAACCAGATACTCTAAATCAGCTGGAAAAAAAAGTGGGAAACAGCCTAGAATTCATTGGCACAGGAGACAACTTCCTGAACAGAACACCAACAGCACAGGCTCTAAGAGCAACAATCAATAAATGGGACCTCATGAAACTGAAAAGCTTCTGTAAAGCAAAAGACACTGTCATCCAAACAAATAGACAGCCTACAGATTGGGAAAGAATCTTCACCAACCCTTTATCTGACAGAGGGCTAATATCCAGTATATATAAAGAACTAAAGAAGCAGAAAAGCAACAAACCAAGTAATCCACTTAAAAAATGGGGAACAGAGCTAAACAGAGAATTCTCGAAAGAGGAACGTCGAATGGCAGAGAAACACTTAAAGAAATGCTCATCCTCATTAGCCATTAGGGAAATGCAAATCAAAACGACCCTGAGATATCACCTTACACCCATCAGAATGGCCAAGATGAAAAACTCAAGTGATAGCACATGCTGGAGAGGTTGTGGAGAAAAGGGAACCCTCCTCCATTGCTGGTGGGAATGTAAACTGGTTCAACCACTCTGGAAGTCAATCTGGCGCTTTCTCAGACAACTAGGAGTAGTGCTACCTCAAGACCCAGCTATACCACTCCTAGGTATATACCCAAAATTTGCTCAAGTACACAACAAGGACATTTGTTCAACCATGTTCATAGCAGCTTTATTTGTAATAGCCAGAACTTGGAAACAACCCAGATGTCCGTCAACGGAGGAATGGATACAGAAACTGTGGTATTTTTACACAATGGAATACTACTCAGCAATCAAAAAGGAAGAAATCATGAAATTTGCAGGCAAGTGGTGGGATCTAGAAAAGATCATTCTGAGTGAAGTATCCCAGAAGGAGAAAGACAAACTTGGTATATACTCGCTTATATAGACCTACAAGACATGATAAACATAATGAAATCTACACACCTAAAGAAGATAATCAAGAAAGTGGACACAGGCGAAGGTGATTAATCCTCATTTAGAAAGACAAATGGGATGTGCATTGAACTTATGACAGGAGTCTATCACAAAAGGCATCTGAAAGACTCTACCTAGCAGTGTTTCAAAGCAGACACTAAGACTCATAACCAAACCCTCGGCAGAGTGCAGGGAATCATATGAAAGAAGGGAAGTTAGTATGATATGGAAAGGATAGGAGCTCCACAAGGACCAAATATATCTGGGCACAGGGTCTTTTCTGAGACTGACACTCAACCAAGGACCATCTATGGATATAACCTAGAACTTCTGCTTGGATGTGGCCTGTGGTAGCTCAGTAACCAAGTAGTTTTCCAAAGTAAGGGGAACACGGACTATTTCTAATAGGATCTCAAGGGCAGGCTGTTTGACCCCCACCCCAGGGGAGGAGCAGTCTGTTAGGCCACAGAGGAGGACTTTGCAGCCAGCCCTGAAGATACCTGTTAAAACAGGGTCAGATGAAAGGGGAGGAGGTCCTCCCCTATCAGGGGACTTGGAAAGGGGCAGGGAGGAGACCAGGGAGGGAGTGTGGGGTTGGGGAGGGAATGAGGGAGCGGGATACAGCTGGGACACAGAGTTAACAAAAGGTAACTAAAAAGAAAAATAAAATAAAAATTAAAAAATTAAAAAAAAAAAAAAAGAAATAGGATTGCAATAGGTCTTAAAGTAAATGAGCAATATACGCACTCACGGAGACTGAGCATCATGCACAGGGCCTGCATGGGTCTATACCAGGTCCTCAGCATCTCTATTGTGACTTCCAGTTTAGTACGTTGATGGGATTCCTGAACATGTGAATGAGTGGGTCTCTGATTCTTGTGCCTTCTGTTGGGTTCTTTTTCTGCTTTTTGTGTGTTTTGTGCAATTCTGGTTAGTTTTTTGCTACACCTCATTTTTTTATCTTTTTATCATTAAACACATTAAAAGAAATGAGCAAACTTTGGACATACATGCATAACAGAAACTGAGTTTGAGGTAGATTTTTCAAGGGTCAGTTATGTGTGCATTTCTAGGTATGTAAGTACATCAGGGACAGATGTCGAGTTAACATGATGACATTATTCTCAGGTGCATCTTCAGGGCCTGTCATGGGTTGTCACTATTTATTTGTGGGGCAGGTAATTTAGCCATTAAGTTATGGAACTACATATTTAATGCTCTTTATCCTCATAAATTACACACATATGCATTTCATATCAGGTCACCATCTGTTTCATGGGATTTTGTTTGTTTTTGTTTGTTTGAAATCATTCTCACAAAACTGTATTTTGTTTTGTCTGAGCATATTAACCTTTTGTGCTATAAAGCATGTTTGCTGTATTCTGTTTTCATGTAGATCGCTTTGAAAGAACTACCCATGCCGCTGATTGGGTATTGAATTTATTGCTGTTAGCTTCCCCACAATAGTTTGGATCCACAATATCTTACCTTTCTTTTTCAGTCATTGTAAGAAATGCCTTCACATTCCCCCCTTTGCTCTGTGTTGATACCTGCTCCTCCTTTTCCTGTTGTTGGTTCGCTAGGCATAATTTTACTCACAGGTAAAGGATTGTTCTTCAGAGAGCCTGAATCTGTGCACATCTGGCCAGCAGTACATATTAACTCACATGCCTGCACATCTTCCCCAAAATGGGATGTCACACTCTATTCTTGCTTTTATAACAAACATGCCATAGACCAGGTCACTCAAACAACAGATTTTCATTTCAAATAGCTCTGGAAGTTCAGAAGTTTAATATCAAGGTCTTATCAGATTTGGTATCTAATAAGGACCTTCTTCTTGGTTATACAAAACTATCCTCAGAATGTAAAGGGATAATTATTTGTTACTTTTTCCATAAATGAGACCAAATGCATGACAAGCATAACTTGAGGAAATAAATGTTTATTGTATCTCAATCTGTTATCTCAGTTAATTTGTCCCATACACTGGGACAAGGTATGGCACACAGTGCTGTTTCACAGGACAGCAGGAAAACAACAACATCAAACACCCATACAGCAATATAAGCAGGGACTGGGTACAACGTTCAAACTGCCTGTTTCCCCCAGCCAGGCCCCATTTCCTAAAAGGTCCACGGCCTCCTCAAAAAGCACCACAGCTGAACCCAAACATTGAGTGGATGGATAGATGCCATGGCACAGCCGCTCAGAAAGGAAAAAAAGGAGATTCTGTAGGAACCGGGCCTTATAGCCTTCAGTTGACTGTCACTAGTGCCTTACTTTGGGTAGCTAGGACTCAGTTGCTAAAGAACTCACATCTTCCCAAATAGTTTATCATCTAGGTAGAAAGCTTTCAAACCACGAGCCAGTTGAAGACATTTAATATTCAACCCATATCAGGAATACACAACTAGTTCATGTCATCTAATTTAAGATTATTTTTCCTTTTTTGGTGTTATCAGCTAAGCTAGTAGGTATAAACTGACAGTGTTACCTTATGTATGACTTAATTTGCACTTTTAAATTTTCTGTTGAGTACTTCATTCTTTGGAGGGTTTTTTTTTTTCCTTGTACGTCTCTGTACATATTCTCTGCCTATGTTCTTACTTTTGTTGTTTGCTTACATTTTTTAGGAGTTAAATATAATTTCTAGATTCTAAGTAGGCGCTTGTATGCATCACACTTAGCTTTTTTCTATTTTTATTGAATATGAACTGGAAATCTATGCAATCATACCAATTTTCTCAGCCTTGTAACTGTTTTGAAAGTTCTCATCCTTTTTTTTGACTTGTCAATCACAAAAACATTTTGCTGTATTTTCTTCTGCTAACATTAGAATTCTGTTTCATATTAGGTCTTTAATTCATCTAGTGAATACTTTCAAGTGACAGGGACGTTAGGTAGGGAACTGGTTTTCAAAACCAACCTAGCAGGCAATATAAACTTTTCTTTGTATGAGCATTGTGTTTATTGCTTTTCCTGGCACGCAGGTCTTTCAGAAAAGAAAATATGATCTGCCTTCTCAGATTGTTGCAACCTCTTGGGGGAGATGTGAGTAACACAGATGGAGTTGAAAAGCAGGGCATGAAATAATTAAGGATTAAATTGTATGTAAAGGACAATCAATGAAGGGGACTGGCAAAGGCAGAGGAGATCATGGAGAAGCCCTGTGGTCAGGAAAAGCTTTGTATTATCTCAGGCTTGTGTAAAGGCTGCAGGTGCTCTCCCCCTCCCCTGTGGCGTTTGCTTTAGAGGACTTCCTGGAAGGGTTCAGGCTTCATCCTGAGCCACTCCTCCTAACAGTTGCTAAATCCTAATGAGTAAAACCAGATTCGTTTCTCTCTTATATGGACACTAATTGGATCACCAGGAGAGACCGGGTTGCAGCTCCTGTTCTGCCTCATAGTTTTCGCTCCACTGATTTAAACGGAGCTG